GATCACTGGACAATGGTCAAAATTATCCTTAATGGAATAAGGATATGTTTCTCGATTATGGACATGAAAAAAAAAGTTCATCGTAAAGGGTTACGTCGATGCAAGTTTTGACACTAATCTAGATGACTCTAAGTCTCAATCTAGATACATATTGAAAGTGGGAGCAATTAGCTAGAGTAGCTCCGTGCAGAGCATTATAGACATAGAAAATTGCAAAATACTTACGGATTTGAATGTGACAGACCTGTTGAATTAAATTATCTCACAAGCAAAACATGATCACACCTTAGTACTTTTTGGGTGTTAATCACATAGCGATGTGAACTAGATTACTGACTCTAATAAACCCTTTGGATGTTGGTTACATGTCGATGTAAATTATGGGTGTTAACCACATAAAGATGTGAACTATTGATGTTAAATTACATAGCGATGTGAACTAGATTATTGACTCTAGTGCTAGTGGGAGACTGAAGGAAATATGCCCTAGAGGCAATAATAAAGTTATTATTTATTTCCTTATTTTCATGATAAATGTTTATTATTCATGCTAGAATTGTATTAACCGGAAACATGATACATGTGTGAATACATAGACAAACAGGGTGTCACTAGTATGCCTCTACTTGACTAGCTCGTTGACCAAAGATGGTTATGTTTCCTAGCCATAGACAAAGAGTTGTCATTTGATTAACGGGATCACATCATTAGGAGAATGATGTGATTGACTTGACCCATTTCGTTAGCTTAGCACTTGATCGTTTAGTATGTTGCTATTGCTTTCTTCATGACTTATACATGTTTCTATGACTATGAGACTATGCAACTCCCGTTTACCGGAGGAACACTTTGTGTGCTACCAAACGTCACAACGTAACTGGGTGATTATAAAGGTGCTCTACAGGTGTCTCTGAAGGTACTTGTTGGGTTGGCGTATTTCGAGATTAGGATTTGTCACTCTGATTGTCGGAGAGGTATCTCTGGGCCCACTCGGTAATGCACATCACTATAAGCCTTGCAAGCATTGCAACTAATGAGTTAGTTGCGGGATGATGTATTATGGAACGAGTAAAGAGACTTGCCGGTAACGAGATTGAACTAGGTATTGAGATACCGACGATCGAATCTCGGGCAAGTAACATACCGATGACAAAGGGAACAACGTATGTTGTTATGCGGTTTGACCGATAAAGATCTTCGTAGAATATGTGGGAGCCAATATGAGCATCCAGGTTCCGCTATTGGTTATTGACCGGAGACGTGTCTCGGTCATGTCTACATTATTCTCGAACCCGTAGGGTCCGCACGCTTAAGGTTTCGATGACAGTTATATTATGAGTTTATGAGTTTTGATGTACCAAAGGAGTTCGGAGTCTCGGATGAGATCGGGGACATGACGAGGAGTCTCGAAATGGTCGAGACGTAAAGATCGTTATATTGGATGACTATATTCGGACATCGGAAAGGTTCCGAGTGATTCGGGTATTTTTTGAAGTACCGGAGAGTTACGGGAATTCACCGGGGAATATATGGGCCTTATTGGGCCATACGGGAATAGAGGAGAGAGGCCAAAAGGAAGGAGGCACGCGCCCCCCCTCTGGTCCGAATTGGACAAGGGGTGCGGCCCCCTTTTCCTTGTTCCTTTCCCCCTCTTTCCTTCTCTCCTACTCCAACAAGGGAAGGAGGAGTCCTACTCCCGGTGGGAGTAGGACTCCCCCCTTGGCGCGCCCTCCTCCTAGGCCGGCCGCCTCCCCCATTGCTCCTTTATATACGGGGGCAGGGGGGCACCCCAAAGACACAACAATTGATCCTTGAGATCTCTTAGCCGTGTGCGGTGCCCCCCTCCACCATAATCCTCGATAATATTGTAGCGGTGCTTAGGCGAAGCCCTGCGACGGTAGAACATCAAGATCGTCACCACGCCGTCGTGCTGACGGAACTCTTCCCCGACACTTTGCTGGATCGGAGTCCGGGGATCGTCATCAAGCTGAACGTGTGCTAGAACTCGGAGGTGTCGTAGTTTCGGTGCTTGATCGGTCGGGCCGTGAAGACGTACGACTACATCAACCGCGTTGTTATAACGCTTCCGCTGTTGGTCTACGAGGGTACGTGGACAACACTCTTCCCTCTTATTGTTATGCATCACCATGATCTTGCGTGTGCGTAGGAAATTTTTGAAATTACTACGTTCCCCTACAGAAATTACCTGTTATCTCTGACGAATAATACCTCATCTCATTCTCCAGCGTGTGGGTCAAAGAGCTCCTGCACAATAGTTTTAAAACAATTGTTCCCCTTCTTGTGATCACCTTTCTAGATGTGTTTACTAAATCCATAGTAGTTTTATAACATATTAATTTTCTCACCATTTTCAACTCTTTAGATACAATTGTGCCTGATGGCGAATGCCACCTCCTTGATGGCCTCGTCATGCTGCTAAAGATGCTCAGCTCCTTGTCCCTCAAGGTGTCCCTCTTCCTCTCAGAAGTAGGAATATGATAAGAGGCTTGTGAGGGTTATCAAAGGATGATGGTCTCCAACTCATGTGTGTTTGGATACTCTACGATGGGTGTATTGAGAGGATCGCTGGATCCCATCGCATGCTTGCCCGTAGTCAGACCCTAGGAGAAGATGGCTGCACCGAGAGTATTTCTGGATGGGCTTGTTGAGGTACTCAACATCCTTGGGGTGATCCTAAGAATGAAATGCAATGTTTTTTTGTGATTGGCATGTTGGATAAGTGAAACGAAGTTACAGGTTAGCTAACCGTGATGTGGCCTTCGTAGTGCTCGACCTCCAATAGAATGGTGAAGGTGTTTTGGTCACATTGTGCACCGCCAAGCTCTCTACGCTTTGACACCTGGATCCATCTCGCTCTCCACTTCCAAAAGATGGTTGTACACCTGTGTTGATGTAACTCTGTGTCACATAACTCGAAGACCATCTTGGCAGCAATATTCAGATGCACCTCCTTAAAGCCCTTATCAGTCCTCGCTTCTCCCACGATGATATTAAACATCTTGTACATGACAAAGATGGACATGAAAGGATCTCATTTCATCGCATTCCCTTTCATTGACCCCCTCAACGATGCCTTCGCAGCCTTAATGTCCACCTTAGTATCAGCCACAAGCATCGCCACCACTAAAGAACACAAGTGAGGCCTCTAAAACACCTTTGCATCCTGAGTCAACGATGGCTGTTCTCAACATAGGAGGCAAAGGTTTGTTTGATGTCCGACAAAGTAAGGGCTTGAATATACTCTTCCTTGGTCATTGCCTATAACGGTTAGTACTAGAACTAGCCGAACAAGAATAATGCATCTACCATGCTAGCATGGATTGGTCATTAAGATGAACACACTGCTAAATCTACCATACTAACATGAACTGATCATGAAGCTCAACACACTACCAAATCTGCCACACTAGCATGGATTGATCATGAAGCTCAACACACTGTCAAATCTACCATACTAGCATGAAAACCGATATGAAAAGCATGTAATCTAGCACATAAACATCAATCCAACACAACACCATGAAATCATCACTGTCGACAAGCAAAACCTATCATAAACCAAAACGACACCGCTGCCAACTGATCTACCACGTCCTCACACAACATTCATGAAGAAATCCTTGCATAACCTACCCTACTACTTGTAGATCTACTCTACTTTAGCACACACTCATAGATCTAGGCTACAACAAGTAGGGTCTGATGTTACTTACCGCCATCGGAGGAGCAGGGAGGAGGCATACTCCCACCAATTTCTCGGGGACGCACACGATTTCGCGCTCTCCCCGATCGCACGAGCTTGATGCCGTGTTCCCCTCCATGTACACGGAGAGCTTGGCTCCTTGGAAACTGCCGATTCAGGGGTTTTCCCATGGCTGGTTGAGCGGTGCTTTGAGGTTCATGCGGGGCCAAGATTTCAATGCAACCTAGCTAACCAAACGGGCGAATTTGGTCTCCCGGAGCATGCATGGTGGGATGCAAGCAACCAACCATGTCCTTGATGTAACTTTTGATTGTATCAGAGATCTTTCTTGTCCGTGTGTGGTTCAGTCTCTCCGATATATGGAATTTATCTAATTAGTGAAAAGGTCGTATGGTGTAGAAAAAGTTGCTCTATCCCAATAGTTTCTTCCAAGGGGGATCAGAACTAGAGAGATGAGCAATGATATATTGGAACGTATGCTCTTCAGGAAGCTGTCCCGCTCTGTAAATGACATCTGGAATCCTTTCACTTTGATCCAATCCAATCTGAAGATGAATTTATCTCAGGACTGCAGCAAGTCTGAAGCCTCCAGATGTTGATGTCTGGTACCAATACAGTTGTTCCATTTTCCTTCTTCTTCTCCTTCGCCGTCGTCCGAGAGCTGGATCCGTCCGTGGATGACACTGCTAAAGATTGCGGTTTCCACAACTTGGGACGATTCAAGCGAAAGAGTATAAATGTTCATCTTCTTCAGATGACTTGGAACAGTTCAAAGATGCACAGCATGTACAATTCTACATTCTACTATTGGAATATATTGGATTATCATACAGGTTCAGACACAAGCAGGGTAACCAGCAGAGACATAAAGAATCACAAATAAACCAATCACGGAAACTAATTAAACGATTGCATTCATCCTTGTATATGTGCCAATCGATCAATCCAGTGGCACCGGAAAGAATGCACAAGTATATGGCTATCGGCTTCATTACTGTATTCATCAGCAGCAGAAGGATGTTCACCTTATACCAGCCAACAGGAGAAGGATGCACAAGTAAGTATATCCTATGCCTACACCCCAACTTCATCGGTGCATCTACTCTAACTCTATACCACTAACTCAGCAACACTCATTCAACGGCAGCAGCCCATCACAACTTTAATCTGGCAAAATCTGTTGACTTCAACTCTGATCAGCAGGATGTTCTTTCTAGGAAGTCTCTTGACTTGAACTCTGATCAGCAGCATGTTCTCCCTAGGAAGCCTGATGACTTCAACTCTGACCAGCAGGCTCTTCTCTCTGGGAAGCCTGATGACTTGAACTCTGATCAGCAGGATCTTCTCTCTTGGAAGCCTGATGACTTGAACTCTCAGCAGAAGGAGCACGTGGGTAGATGATGTTGTAGTGATTTCCCGTGTACAGCAGGGTCACACTCGGACGGGGAAATCCAGGACCAGTGTAGATATCTCGAGCATATCCTTGTTGGAATGATTCCGTTCTGAGGGGGACCTCAAGCGCTGTGGCCAAAGCCACCAACATAACATGGTCCGCGTCCACACGAGCTGGAATGACGTGCTCCAAGCACCACTGTTTGTGCAACAACAAGTCAGGTAAATGAGTGTCGTGTATCCAACAATGGATGCACTTGAAATTCAGCAGGAGGTAATGTAAGGGAAGGGGATACTGATACTGACAACTTCCAGACTGCAATTTCCTTGGTCGACCTCTGGTATATGTGGTACATACTCCTCACTGTGCGAGCATATATGGATAGCTACTAGTAATCTGAGGAAAGCAAAAACTAACCAATAAAATGTGTCAGAAACATGAATTACGATGAACAGAAGGAAATGTAAGTTCAAGGGTGTTTTTCTCACTGTCTTGCGTCCTCTCATACGTGCTGAAGAACTGGAGAAGTTCCTCTTTACGGCAACTAAAAATGGCACATATTATGTCAGTGAGATGGAATGCGTTCATCTACAATACTTTGATGGAATTGCAGAAAACCATAAGAATCAAAAACCTGCTAGTTGATTCCGTGCCCTTCCATCTCATTACTTTCTCAATCAGCTCCTCAAATGCCTGAAAGAATCAGCAACTCGATTATTCATGGTTGATAATCATTACATACTACAGGATACAATAATACATACAGAATATTGATCAATGGCAGGATATAAAAGAACACAGCTAAGACACCTCCCTGAGAAGCTTCAGTCATTACAGATATACTATAGCATAGTAACAGAACAGTGAGGTGGCTGTACAATAATAACCAGCAGGCGTGCATTGTTGCAGTGCTCAAACAAGCATAAAATTATGTTATTTCCCAATTATATTGCTGTTGTTCCTTTGCACGTAAATTTCTCTTAAGGTTGTTGTTAAAATCGGGTTGTTAACTTCATAATAAGCTTCAAATTTGAGTTTGTGCCAACATTGTGTAAAACTGTGACGGCATGCCACTACTGTTAAGCAATTGTGCATCTCCTGCAAATGACAAACAAAGATAGTGAGATGCCAGATGATGCTTGAAGTGTACTTTGTAACCTGAAGAGAATCATCATCCCTTGCAAGCATGTTTATCCAAGAAAGAACAAATATGGAGAAGGTGAGAACTTACTCTGCTGGTCCTGGAAAACTCAGAGTTCCATCCAAGAATTGCATGTTGCACAGACATTCTTTCAACAACATCAAGGAGACGATGTTCCTCATCTGTGTCCTGCCTATCAATAACTTGCTCCTGTTGTACATTCGCATAAACAGAGAAAGTTAAATAACTAAACCTACATCATATGCTAAGAAAAAGAGAGGAGGTCAATTACTAGGTAGGAAAATATGAAGCTCCTGTAGAAACACTCCCCATCTCCAATCACCAGTCTAATTTCCGAATAGGCATCAAGATGGTCCGCCTCGTTAGAAGAAACCATATACCGATTCCTTACTTCATTGATGGGACGTGTCTGCAAGAACCACACAAATACGAGAATTCAAATTACAGAGTAGAACATGGAAACAACATATCTAAAAAGGTGATGGAAAGTTTGTTTTTATTGCAATATTCGGTTTTTAAAACCACTGTCATGTATAATCCCATCACTGATATTGATCTGTTGCTGTTCAATAAGAAAACAAGAAGATATCTGTTAATGTCTGATAACTCAACAACAGTACAAGTACGATTCAGCTTCCATCAAACTATCACAACCAAGAGTTAACATACAATTTAGTATCCATAAAAGAGAAAATAATCTTTCTGAACAGTTCATCGTACAGGAACCATGAATCAAAGTATCTTGTGATCTCGGACATTCTTCCTGATATTTCATGCACTTCAAATTTGAACATCACATTAGGCAAAATGGAGACAAACCTGGTGCTCCACATGTCTTGAATATATTTGCTTTCCTTCTCTACGAAAAATCTATTTGACAAGAAATGAAGAGAATGAAATTAATGTATGATAAACTCAACAACAGTACAAGTACGATTCAGCTTCCATCAAACTATCACAACCAATAGTTAACATACAATTTAGTATCCAAAGAGAAAATAATCTTTCTGAACAGTTCATCGTACAGGAACCATGAACCAAAGTATCTTGTGATCTCGGACTTTCATCCTGATATTTCATGCACATCAAATTTGAACGTTCACATTAGGCAAAATGGAGACAAACCTGGTGCTCCTCACGTTCTGAACATATTTGCCTTCCTTCTCTATGAAAAATCTATTTGACAAGAAATGAACAGAATGAAGTTAAAGTCCATACATCCTGGCAGTCTTACAATTATACAGAATCAACAAGAAGCCAAACATTTTCCTTTTCCCAGTAAAAAAAGAAACAAGAATGTAATAGCAAGACCACAAACGTTCAAGTCCAAAGCTCTTTATTTTCGGCAACTATTTAAAAGAAATTATATTCTGAGGCTTCTGAGCGAGTTCCAGGTACCAATCAACCAAATGGTGAAGCTTCTCAACCAGATCCTGAAGTGGTCAGAGATTTTGCATGTAAATAGCAAATGATTTACAGAAATTATATTTCGTTATGTTACAAAGGAAGATCGTACATTCGACTTCAGGCTCTGTTACGAAAATATTGCAGTAATCAGGACATGACCTCCTAATTTCCACACATTTTACAGACAGCAATTCCAACAAGATAGCCATTCGCTTCAAAATATGATGCCAGATTTCGAAAAGATCCACAAACAACAAGGACGTGTGTACTGCTGCCAACATTTGCCCAAGATTCCTCCTCTACTCTAGGATGCCACATGATGCTCAAACCAAGATCTTTCTATGCAGTTGACTTCCCTTGGTTAAACTAACAGGTCCAGAATTAAACTAACAGTTCACATTTGCCACATGATGGCACTTTTGCCTTGGTTAAACTAACAGGTCACATTTGCCACATGATGCCACATTTGCCTTGGTTAAACTAACAGGTCCAGAATTAACATGAACAAACAGAAATCAAGAATCCCAATTCCAGTTTCCATGCACATAAAATAGGTAAGTACAAGAATGCTGGTCATACCACCCAAGAATCACAAGTGCGAAGAGTAAACAAGATTCAGGTCATACCTTGTTCTTGAGCCGACTCCAGAGCGATTTCCCCTTTTCAGGCCTGGGTCTCACCTTGACTTGTGGTAGTTTCTTCTCCTACTCCACAGAGTTAGCATCAGGATTCACACATTTCGTATTAGCAAGGTGAAAGGACTAACAAGACTGAAAAATGTGGAGCTATCCAACTCCTCTCTACTCTTGCCGATTTTTTATATGAATTGAGTTTCGATTTTCGAGGCTTCATAGTCAGAATCAAACTTTCAGGTAACAGATGACCTCATGATCTCCACACATTTTCGCTTCAAAATATGATGCAGATTTCGGGAAGACCCACGAGCAACAAGGGTGTGTGTACTGCTGTCAACATTTGCCCAAGATTCCTCCTCTACTCTAGGATGCCACATGATGCTCTAACCAAGATTCCTTGCCTTGATTAAATTAGCAGGTCCAGAATTAACACGAACAAAGAGAAATCAAGAATCCCAATTCCAGTTTCTGTGCACATAAAGTAGGTAAGTACAAGAATGCTCATATGGCCATACTACCCAAGAAAATCACAAGTGCGAAGAATAAACAAGATTCAGGTCATACCTTGTTCTTGAGCCGACTCCAGAGCGATTTCCCCTTTTCAGGCCTGGGTCTCACCTTGACTTGTGGTAGTTTCTTCTCCTACTCCACAGAGTTAGCATCAGGATTCACACATTTTGTATTAGCAAGGTGAAAGGACTAAGAAGATTAAAAAATGTGGAGCTATCCAAATCCTCTCTACTCTTGCTGATTTTTATATGAATTGAGTTTCGACTTTCGAGGCTTCGTAGTAAGATTCAAACTTTCATGTAACAGATGACCAAAGGCCCAAACTTCTCGACCAAACTCCAGGGTGGAGTAAGAGATCAAAGGCTTTTGCATAAAAGTGGCTGAGGATCCAGATAATGTACGTCAAGGTAAGTAATCCAGTGCAAACATTCAGACTAATTCTCCTATAATACAACTCATTTACACTGAAAACTGATTCATTTTGGCTTAAGGATTTCTTGTTAAAGTATCACAGCAACTACTGCCACGACATGATCCTCGTACCTCCCCACATTTTCCACTTACAGCAAAATATGTAGTCACACTGAATAGAAGAATCAGTTAGCACAAGACTGGACACCTAAATCTTGAACAGTTTCGAATAATCACAACAAGATGCTCGTTCGTTCTAAATTCATACTGCACCGCAAGAAGAACTCCGAGTCATAATCATGAAACTGTCCCCAACATTTGCCCAAGATTCCGCTTGTATATTACTCTAAATCATCCCCAAGATTTCAACAAACATAAGAGATCACAGTTCCACGCCCCGAACAAGAAAATGGTCACAGTTCCACACTCCAAATCACAAGCAAGCAAGCAAGAAGACCAGATTCAGGCTATACCTTTTCCTTTCCCGGGGGCGCGTCCTTGGCGTGCGGCGATTCCACCTGCTCGAGAAGAAACCAAGAAACGCTCAAGAACGCACTCCAGCAACTCCAAGAACTCCAAGAAACAACATCGCGAACGCGCATCACCTGCTCCTCCTCGCCCTCCTCGATGATAACCGACTGCCCCTCTCGTACCACCTGCTGGAACACCCGCGTGTAGTCGAACGGCAGCGTCGCGTCCCTCGGCACCACCATCCTCCTCCCCGCCGAGGAGCTTGACCCCCCGGCTCCGAAGGCGGAGGCGGAGTCGGGGATGCTGCCCGCGGAGCTTGGGGGGACAGGTGGCGGAAAGGGGCCGGCGGCGAGCGCCTTGCCCTTCCGGAGGTCGACCACCGCGGCGGGGCGCGACCCATCGGCGCCGCCTCCGGCCTGCTCGAGGCGGAGGGGAGGTGGCGGCGCAGCAGCGCTCGGGGCGCCATCCCCATCGCCATTGGAGGAGGCGTTGGAGGCCGGTTCTTGGATGCGCTCCTCCTCGACCGGTTCTGCTGCTCCTGAACCTGAACCTGAACCTGAACCTGAACCGGGTGGCTCCATCGCGGCGGGAGAAACTTGGAGGGCTCGCGTGGCAATTCCGCTAACTCGCGAGGGCGTGGAGAAGAAAGGTGTGCGGGGTGCGGGATGGAAAAGGGGGAGAAGGGTTGACGGCTATTTATTTGGAAATTCTGATGGCGGTTTGGTCCCTTGGGAGTTCCTGTTTTGCAACCAACTCCAAAAAAAAAGTCCATGTTGAACCAAACATTAGTACAGGTCGCAGGCACACACTTCTCGTTTGCAGATACAGCCCACATGAAAGATAAAAATTACAAGAAAGGCAATCAGAAACACGCGACCAATCCACGGATTGAATGGGTAACACGTGTCATGTCACACAACGTAGGTTGTATCCGGCCAATTCAAGAGAAACGGGGGTAGCCATCGAACAAGGCCTACGTTGATCACAATTTGGTCGGGCAACGCCTTGCGACATGATGTGTCCTTTAAGGGTGGTTGTCACTTGTCCAACCGTCGCAATGACGCAAGAAATTTCATTAAAATCTTCGTTGGGATGAGATTTTACGTCTTAGTAGATGGATTCAAGTGATAGTAGTATGGGAAATAAATTCATCAAAATCAAGAAAATAAATATAGCTTCCATTGTAACTGAATATTTTATGGCAATGAATTTAATGGCAAGTGTATGTCTATCACTTTGAAAATATATACTAACTAAACAAATGATTATTATTAGGGACCATCTAGAACTCATCTGACGTCACACTACTTGTTCGGTTTCCCGGCATATCCTATTTGGCGCTTCAGACGTCTGTTACTGTGCATTTTGTAAATGGACGCCTGTTTAAACATGCAAAAAGATTGAGCGCGGTGTGAATTGAATCCCAACCTCCTGGATGCACCTACACTGCACTAACCAACCAGCCACCTCACCTTATGTGATTGCATACATCATTTTACACCTTTTGTTCTTTTCTCTTTTTTCCTTTTCCCCTTTTTCCTTTTCCCTTTCCCCATTTTTCTTTTTTTCCTTCCTGATTCGATGAACTTTTTCAAATTAGTGAAATTTAAAAATAAAAAACGGTGAACTTTTTTCAAACTCGTGAACTTTTTCTTCAAAGTCAATGAATTTTTTTAGTTTTGATGAACTTTTTTTAAAATTTGATGAATTGTTTTTCAAATTTGATGAACTTTTTCATACAGATGAACCATTCTTTAAAGTTCATGATTTTTTTTAAATCCGTGCACATTTTTAAAAAATCCATCAACTTTTTTGAATTCATGATTTTTTTTGTTTTTTGTGAATTTTTTTGTTTTTCTTACAAGTGCGCTCTAGTAGATAGGACGGCCCACCAGCGTCGGCACATGGGTGCCACGGAACTTCCTTGGTGCCTGAAGCGCCG